GATTTTAGACAAATGCCCTTAACTTCTTCATACTTCTCTTTCTTCATCTAACATTGGGAATAATTCCATTTAATATTGGGAATATATGAGAAATAAACTATATCTACTTAAAGCCAGGTGCTGGTGGCTCATACTTGTAATTGTAGCTACTAAAGAGGTTGGATCATGGTTCAAAGCCATTCCAGGTCTAAAAGTCCAAGGGACTCCATCTCCAAAATAACTAGCAAAAATAGGAGACTGAAGACATGACTCAAGTGATAGTCCACCAGCTGAGGAAGGTTGAAGTCCTTAATTCAAACATAGGCACGAGCAAAAGAAAAACAAACAAGCAAAAAAGCACCTAAAACTAAAAAAAGGGATGTATGTGCTTCTATGTGGCCATCATTGATACTGTTAGAAGTAGTCCCTACCTCATACCTAAAATATATGTAGAGCTCAAAAAATTGACCTCCCCAATAAACCCTCAAAGGAACAACAACTCAGTTAATAAATGGGCTAAAGACTTCTCAGATGAAGAAGAAAGGCCAATAGATACAGGAATAAATGTTTGATAACTCTAGCCATAAAAGAAAGCAAATCAAAACAACATTAAGATTCCACCTCACCCCAGTTAGAATAGCTATTATCAAGAAAACCAACAGTAACAGATGTTAGGAATGTGGGCAAATGGGAACTCTACTACACTGTTGGTGGGAATAGAAACTTGTTCAACCACTCTGGAGCGTAGCATGGAAGTTTCCCAAAAGGCTAAACATAGAGCTTCCCTATGACCCAGCAGTTTCACTCCTGGACATTTATCCAATAGACCACAAACGAGGTCACACTAACGCTACCAGCACAGCCATGTTCTTTGCAGCATTGTTTACCATAGCCAAGCTATGGAGTCAATCCACATGCCCCTCAGAGGACTGGATCAAGAAAATATGATATATATACACAGTGGGATTCTATGCCTCCATCAGAAAGAATGACATTGCCCCATTTGTTAGGAAATGGAGAGACTTGGAAAAAATTATATTAAGTGAAGTAAGCAGACCCCAAGAAACATAGATTGCCTATTTTCCCTCATTTGTTGTAACTAGAATATGCCTATAAATCTACAAGTAAACATACTGGATGGCAAAAGACAAAATACACTTGGACATGATAAATTATACAGGACTCTAGACATTTACACAGTGAGGCTGAAGGAGGTTATTCTTAGGAGAGGATCATAAAGGTACAATAGCCATGTGCATATAATCATATAAAATGATCTTTATTGAAATGAACTCCAAGAAATGAAAATTAGAGGGTTATTTTATTTTGTTTTTTGTTTTTGTTTTTTTCTTTGTTGCTGTTTTTTTTTTCATTTCTGTAGCTTTTGTCCTGTGTGCAAGTTTATCTGACTTGGGGAGAGTTAAGGGGGAGCACAGAAAGTGGGTAGCAAAGGGTGAACAAATGCATCAGTGATACTCACTAGACACTATGTTGAAAATGAACTATACATCTTCTGGGGGAGGGGGACTAGTAGTGAAAACTGGGGAGATAAATGGGAGAAGAGGTGAAACTGTTCAAAAAGAAATGCACTCATTACCTGACTTATATAAATGTAACCCCTCTGTATATAATCTTTACAATAACAATTAAAAAAAAAAGTAGTCCTTAGGCCATGAGGATGAAGTCTCACTGCTTTCTTTTTTTTTTTTTTTGGTCATGTGGCTTGAACTCTGGGCCTGGGCTCTGTCCCTGTGCTCTTCAGCTCAAGGCAAGTGCTCTACCACTTGAGCCAAAGTACCACTTCTGATTTTCTAGTAGTTTATTGGAGATAAGAGTCTCATGGAGTTTCCTGCCTGGGCTGGCTTTGAACCGGGATCCTCAGATCTCAGCCTCCTGAGTAGCTAGGATTACAGGCGTGAGCCACCGGCGCCCAGCTAGTCTCACTGCTTTCGTTGCCCTGTCGACACCACAAAATTGCTAGCATGAATCCTGGACGTTGCCCATCTGCTAGACAAATGCTCCTGTCCCTCACCTTCCTTATCCATAGAACCTGGACCTTTGCTGGGGATGGTGGGCCATCCAGTCCCTATTTCATTGGGCTTCTACCTTACTGTACATAAGAGCTGCCTGAGACCCACAGGAAAGGGACCAACAAGTGTATGCTATGGTCCTGAGAAAGAAAGGAAAGGTTCAGCTTCTCAGCCACAGATGGCCAACCCTTGGTGGCTCATTATGACTTCTTGGTGGCTGCAGTTTTCATTCCTGGACATTCTTTCCTGGGATACAGTGTCCTTCTCTCGGGTCACCATCCAGATTCTTCCTCTGTTAAAGAGCTTTGGTAGCAGTAGCTACCTGTTGCTCTATCCTGAGGCCTGTGTCTGCTCTCCACCCCTTGGCCTAGGGCAGATTTCTAGGAACTTAGCAAAGTCCCAACACATGACTCTAGACATCCAGTCTCCCAGATTATCAGCTGCCTGTCCTGACTTCTGGGCGATTGCTTTTGTTCTTGTTTTTAGGTGCAGGACGGAAAGCAGTCGTTTTGGTCCTCCTGTGTGAAATGTAACATGGGCAGGCAATGGGGTCCTCAGAAGTCTGGGCAGACTCATCTTCCTGTATTCTCTGATAGCCAAAACAGCCTGGCGTCATCCCCTGTGCTTTTCTTTAGTCAGAGCTGCTGCTGGATTCTCATCTGATTTTCTTTTCTAGAAAATTATGTACAGTGTCAACTAAGGTTTTGTTTCTGCGTCACAAAGGGAAGTAGAACAAGAAACAAATGAATCAGTTTTTCTTGAATCGTAAAGCTGAGATTTCTTCGTACACTAATTTAGAAAATGGCTGTTGAATAGTACAACATTCCTGAGTGGTTGCTGAATACCAAACCCTGAACAATGATGAATAGAGGCCAAAGATGGAGCCCTGTCCTCAGAGGGCTTTTGTGACAGCCTGTCCTCAGACAGCTACAGGGCTCTGCGGCAGGGCAGGCAAGAAAAGACAGCTTAGTCCATCTTCTCTTTCAGGAAGTTTTCCTTGACTGCTTCATGCCTTAGCCACTTCCTTGTCTCCAGATTGGATTCCTAGAGCTGCAAGACATTTCTACACATAATCTCACCCTCTCTGCCTTACATTATGAAGCAATTGAGGTCTAGAGAAGCTGAATCCTTCCTGTCTTTCTCAGGACCATAAAATTAATCTACAGGAAAACTAGAACTTGAGCCATGTACTCTGATTCCCAGGCCAGGCCTCATCCTTTGCGTAAGTTCTTGCTTTGAGGGGGTGGATGGAATTGGAAGAGATGAGGGAAAGCTATGGAAGGGAAGACATTAACCAAGATGCATTGTACTCATAAATTGATATATTGAATTGGAATCCCTTTGTACAACTACTTAAAGATAATAAAAATGTTTAAGTACTTGCTCTCCCTCTTTTATCATTTATCCCTACATGCTCCCTCCCAGGAACCTTTATGCGTTAGCACTGGCTCTCCTTCTGTCCCTACAGTGGAACTGTGTATCATTCACACCCTGCCTGGTATCTGGGACTGCAGGAATTGGTCAGGCTTAGCTGGGCTTAGGACACAAAGTAAACTTAGCTGGGCTTTCCTCTTGTGCCCAGTAAACTACCATCCTCCTCTTCAGCCCACCTCAAATCATCCAGAGCTCTTCTCTGAATAACTAGAACTCCTTTTGTCTTGAAGACAATATGTTATTTTTTATATATTTTTTGGCTCGATGAAAAGTATTTATTATGGTGATCATCACTCATCTTTGAAGTTTGCTCCTTGTTATATATTATTATATAAAATACAAAACTTTGGGGGCTGGGAAGGTGGCTCAGTGGCAGAGCGCTTGCCTTGCATGCATGAGGCCCTGGGTTCCATTCCTCAGCACCACATAAGCAAAAAGAAAAAAGCCGGAAGTGGCGCTGTGGCTCAAGTGGTAGAGCGCTAGCCTTGAGCTGAAGAGCTGAGGGACAGCGCCCAGGCCCAGAGTTCAGGCCCCACGACTGGACCCCCCAAAAAAAAACTAAAAAAAAATACAAAACTTTGTAAGTTCCCAATTTTTTGTTTGAAAATCTATATATTTATTTAACAGTGGTGATATAATATGAATAATCATCAGATGATTGTTAAATTGTGAAAAAGAAGCACTAGTAACTTTTTTTTTTGTTTTTTAACCAGATAGTTATTTTACTTGTTCTTTTTAAAAAAAATTTCCCCTACCATCCCGTCCCTCCCACCTCCTCAACCAATCCCGCCCCCCCCCACTCCTACATTGTAAAGTTCATTTTTCGACATAGCAGTAGATAGTACGTTAAACACAGTTGCATGTGAAATCTCTTTGCTTGTCTCTGGGACAGCATCTTAACTTGACACATACCCGTGTTTACAGAACTATACACCCTGCAAACCTAGGGTGCAAGCCCATGTGTCAACTTAAGGGCCTAAGATGTAATGCCTTTTATTTCTCTCTCCTCCAAAGAGAAAAAAAAAATCTGGATCCTTTCAGTTTTATGTAGAGCATCTGCAGAGCATGTCTTCCAAGTCAGATACCTTGAGTAGTAAAATGGTATATAGTTAATACAGCTGGACCACAGGCCTAAATGGGAGCATATGGTCACCTGGTTTAAATGGAATGAATGCCTGCAGTTGGAAGGAAAGATGTGGGCTATTGTTTGTGAAGATTTCTAGTGCAAAGAGGGGACTGCTGGTCACTGAAAGGCTTTTGTTTCCAGTGGAACTTGGCATCATACAGCAATCACTGCAACAAGCTGGTGCCTTTCTCTGTGCCGCTTGTATTTCTGTCAATGGCTGATACTCTCAGGGTGTGCCCGGATGTGGGTCTGTTTTATTGTCTTTTTGTTTTTTGAACAGGGTCATCTCTGTTTAGAGTGAGAACTCACTATGTAGCCCCAACTGTGATCTGGACCTTGAGATCCTACTGTTCCATCTCCTGAATAACTGGGATTCCAGGAATGTGCTACAACACCTGGCCTTATTGTCTTTTTTTTTTTTTCCCCTCCAGAGATCCTGAGGATCATTCAGCTGGACCTTGACCTAAAGTATAAGACCAACATCCGGGAGTTGTTTGAGGAATTTGACAATTTTCTGCCGAATGCTGTCATTGGCATAGCCAGAGAGATGCAGCCAGTGTACAGGTAGGCAGTGACCGTCAGGGATCCGTCTTCACCCTGTCCTGTTTTCTATTACCTGGCACCAACCTGACCCCTGTCCCTTTTTATTTCCCCTCCATTCTCATGACAGCTGGGCTTTCTTGCCCTTGAGTCACCCTGATACTGTCAAGTGTGTATCGCAGAGAAACCTGGGAGCCAGGAAATGTATGGACATGTATTTAAGAATATTCTCTAAAGCATTATTTGTAATACCCCCAAACTGAAAAATACCTTACATGTTCTAGACAGAAGAATGGATTAATAAAATGTATTTACTCAACTGAGTAGTTTATAGCAGTGAAAGTAGACTACATAGTAGCTGCATGCAATGGTGGGCAGAATTAAATGGTACTCTTTAGGGTGGCATACACAACTACCAAGGAAGTGCTTCTCAAAGCCACTTTGTGGGGCAGGAGCACATGAGAAAGATTGTGCTTTATTTCTTCACCTGGATAGTTATGAGCTGTGCATGCATTCTTCTGTGTGTAATGTATGTCTTACAGTTCAACAACAACAAAAACATGAGAGAAGAATAGCAGAAGCAGGTTTTTATTAAAAACTAGGCTCATGGCTAGCAGGCAAGCTGATAGCTTGCACCAACACCAGCACTGACCATGTTGGTTCAGGAAGAGCTGAGATTCTGTTGTCCCCAGTCCCTAGGGTGTATGGGCTCTGTGACCCCAAAGGCTGGCGGCTCCTTGTGAAAATCCTGGAACAAGGCCCAGTCACTGGTTTAGCCATGATTCTTTGGCCTAGATCACATAACAGAAAATTCCTGCAAGGACTCAAATGAGTTGATAACTCCTGGGGCCTTGTGGGCTGTCCCCCCATAATCCTCACTCCAGAGCCACTGGGCGAGTCTTGAGTTGAGCAGACTCCTCCTTCATTCCTTTACTTTCCTACAGGGTGTATCTTCTCCGTCACCTAGGAGGTGACAGAGAAACATTAAACCAAGACTTAGATGCTAGTGCCAGCTCTTCTACCATACCTGGGACCTTGGTGGCCCTCTGAGAAGGGGTACAGATGAGCTCCAAGACCTCTCTCTCTCTTCTAACTCTGAATTTGGCTGGTACAACCCCACCAAAGCTGCTTGTCCACATGGAGCTCTCTCATGTACTGGAAGGCTGGGCCCTGGGGACACTTGATGGGGCTGAAGATCAAATGCACTGAGAGCAGCAATGGCTGCCAGCCCTGGCTTAAATTCTTCTTGAGCTATACACATGGGAACCTGGAAACCTTATTATACTTAATTTAGATAATTCGGGCCAGAATTTATATTTATGGTCAATCTAGGCTTTTTTTTTTTTTTTTGGTCGGTCGTGGGGCTTGAACTCTGGGCCTGGGCACTGTCCCTCAGCTCTTCAGCTCAAGGCGAGCGCTCTACCACTTGAGCTACAGCGCCACTTCCGGTTTTCTGGTGGTTTATTTGAGATAGGAGGCTCACGGTCTCTCCTGCCTGGGCTGGCTTTGAACCGAGATCCTCAGATCTCAGCCTCCTGAGTAGCTAGGATTACAGGTGTGAGCCACCAGCGCCCGGCTCAATCTAGGCTTTTATAATAGTGCAACTTACATTAACCTGATTGGCTTTCCCAAAAGAAACATCTGAAAGATTATAGATTGAAAATGTAATTGAGTTTTTCTTGCCCTGTGACTCTTTAGTTACTATGATGTACTTGGAGATCCATGAGATCTCACTGTGGGCTGAGACCAAGAGTGCCATTTACAGGGCTTGAGCATCAGAATCAATAGATCCTTTTGTGCCCTCTCCCTTGCACACATTGCTAAGGACTTCTAATAATGAAGGCTGCACATGAGGCCTGGGCTGCTGCCTGCTGCTGGCTGTACGGAGTCACTTTTTCAAATATGCATTTTGGTATCTACTGGGGCTAAGAATGGTTTGGTACTGCCTGGCAGCACACAAGAAACCACGTGCTTTTTGCCTCTTCTACAAGAGAACTGGAAACTTCAGGGACCTAGAACATCAGTGACAGTTGCTTGCTGCTTCAGTGTCTCAGCCTAGCTGGGGTATGAGGACAGAGGGTTGGGGAGGGAAGAAAGAACTAGAAAGGGAAGGGAGAAGGAACGCTATGTTTACAGTAGGACAGGCAGAGCTGGGCCTTTGTCCTGAGCCGAAGTCCTGGCCCTTTCTTCCTTGCACGTGGCTGAACTGGCCATCTGTCCTGACCTCTGCCTGCAGAGGCTGCCGCTCACCATCCCCGCCTCAGTGGCCTGGCGAAATGTGGACCAGTTACTTAGTATTATAAGTGGATTCTGCTATCATCTGTGAGAGGAAAGGTAAATTAAGCACAAAGCTAAGTAACACAAGTATAACATGACTGGTTCAGCAAGTATGTCTGGGTCTGGCAATAGGTTTGGATCTTCTCAACTGTATTGTGTGTGTGTGTGTGTATGTGTGTGTGTGTCTGTCTGTCTGTCTGTCTGCCTGTCTGCCTATCTGTCTGTCTGTTCTGAGGCTTGAACTCAGGGCCTGGGCTCTATCCCTGAGCTTCTTTTGCTCAAGACTAGTGCTTTACCACTTACTTTAGCCACAGTGCTACTTGCAGCATTTTTGGTAGTTTAGCGGGCATAAGAATCTCACAGACTTTCCTGCCTGGACTGACTTTGAACCGTGATCTTCAGATCTCAGCCTCCTAAGTAGTTAAGATTATAGGAGTGAGACACTTGTGCCCTGTGATTGCATCATTTTTATTGTCATTTGGCTCACAGCAACTGTTTTTCAAAAGGACACATCGAGTCATTTTTATGGTGGTTTCCCCTTTATTGTATGCCGTGAATGTTCCTCTAAGCTCGGAGGAGAGGAGGGGAGAAGTGTTTCCTACTGTCCATTTGACAAATGACTTTTTTTTTTAAAACAATCTTTTTCTCTAACATACATCAAACTGTTTTCTAGACGGTGGTGTAGAGATCATGGGATGTTAGAACTGTGACAGATGATTTTTGTCTGAGTGTCTGTGAGACCACATCTCCTATGATCTTCTTCATTTAGAAAGCAGAGTACCTAGTCATCTTGGGTAGAAAGCTGTCTGTCCTTCCTTTTACCCCTTCTCTGTTTCTTCATTATCTAGACCCCACATCAGGTTCTGCATGGTGATGTGTCTGATTGGGTAAGTGGACATAAGGAGAGAATATTCTAGTGCTTTCTCTGTATAGGTAATTGTACTTCACAAATATATGCCATGTGAACTTGCTTCCTTGTGAGTAGAAAAGTTGAGGAAACTATGGATCCTCTTTACATGTTGTTTATAGATATTATAAAGGTGTACTAGCAGCTAGGCACCAGTGACTCACACCTATAGTCCTAGCTACTCAGGAGGCTGAGCACTGAAAATCATGGTTTGAAGCCATCCCAGACAGAAAAGTTCCCATGACTCTATCTCCAATTGAGCAGTCAACAAGCTCAACTGGAGATATAGCTCAAGTGGCAGAGCACCAGCTGTGCATGAGGTTAGGCAGATTGATGTGGAAGAAATGATATTAGCAAATTTGTTGTGAGACATTCTGCAAGCCACTTGCTTTTCTGACCTGATTTTCCCTCTGTAAGCAAGGATGCATAAATAATCACATAATTGTTGGCAAACTCAGATGAAGCAATGCACCTGGACTACTCAGAAGTGCTGGTATGAGGACCACAGGGAAGAATGCTCCCTCCTTTCTCGCTTTATTCCTAGCCTCCTAGTCTATCCCAGCCCAACCACACAGGACCATTTAAGCTCTAGGACACCTGTGACATGTAACTTTAGATGAAAAACACATATTAACTATGTTGCATTAACGACGCTGGACATACTTATAATCAATTATTTGTGCTATATCAGTAGTTTAACAGGTTGTTCTGTTTTCTTTGGTTATTTGTTTTTCAAAATCTGGCAGCACTACCTCTATGCAAGTTTCAAAACCTCCCTTTTCAGCAAGAGTCTGATATCTGGCTTTCCTGCTGAAGCCTTGAAGGACAGAAGCAAGGGGTGTGCATACAAGGGTGCACAAATGGACTGGCCAGGGGTAAGGATTGGGAAGCCACCATCAATCAAAGCATCCTGCGGCACTGGCTCACGTGTGCCACTCTGGAGCTCTGGAGGAGCCAGGAGCCAAGCTAGCCCAAGTCAACTGGAGAGTCTGTGAGACCAGGAGAGCTGGCAGCAGCTGTGGATCACAGGCTCCTGCTGCCCCTGGAGAGAGAAAGAGAGAGAGAGAGAGAGACAAAGAGACAGAGAGAGAGAGACAGAGAGACAGAGAGAAAGATCCAGGTTGCAGCTGTAGGTTGTGGTCACTGTGCCCTGGAACCTCATGAGAAGCCTATGAATGGGGGGGGCGCGTCGGGGTCACAGCTTTGGGTTAAGGTTACTGTTACCCTCTTCCTGCTCTGGCTGAGTCCTGGAGTGAGCTTAGACCCCCCGGGAGCCAGAGCAGGGCAGATCCTGTTAGCTGCCATTCATGCACACCAGGCAGGAATCTGCTTTTGTGATCAGTATTTTAATAGTGTACACACTTTCACCTTCTCAGGATCACATGACTTTTTTTTTTTAATTCATCGCATTGTGCCAGCCTAACCTCCTTCCAGATCCTTGAAATGAAATGTCTGTGCAGTTTCTTTGCAGCTGTCTTATTCCATTCCCAAGACTCTTGGGAGTGTTGGGGAGGAAGAGAGATGGATCGATACCCACCACTACTTGTGTGATCTGTTCTGTTCCTGTGTGATCTTGAGCAAGTTTGTCAACCACTCTGAGCATTAGTTTCTTTAGCTGAGAAATGTGGAGTTGATGGCAGTCCTTGGCACAGAGAAGCACTTAATAGTATGGCAGCATTGGTGGCCACAGTCCCAGCTTAGCTGGGTGCCAGTGACTTCTGCTTGTAATCCTCACTAGTGAGAAGGCTAAGATCTAAGCTAGTCCAGTCAGGAAAGTCGGTGAAACTCTTACCTCCAATTCACCACCAGAAAAACGGAAGTGGCACTGTGGCTCAAAATG